TTTGAGTAGGGAAAGCATCGGCACGATCTAAAGTGGCAACTTGGTTTCTAAGAGATTCCCTATCATGATAAAAAGATAGTTCTGTTGGGACTATCTCTTCAACTAAAGGATCACGTAAAGGCTCAGAGGATTCTTTGTTCCTAGAAGAAGACCTTTGAGAAAGGGAACCTCTAGTTCTAGAAGAGACTAGGAGAAGGCGTGGATGTGCTACCACCGCGAGCAGACCCTAAGCTACGAAGTCTACCACCTCTTCTATGCCTAATGGGGGCATTGGAGAAGTTATCTAAAATAGGAGTTCTCCTAGGGTTAGGGTTTGATGAAGTCATGGCGAAGAAGATTGAAGTGAAGAAGAAGTGAATAGAGATTTGAAGAATTGAAGTGTTCAATACGCTTTATGTGGTAAAAGACAAGAAAAGAAGTTATATTTATACTGATGGACAGCTGGCAAAAGGAAAGAGTACAATGATGGAAGGACCATAATAATGATAACTGACACTTCGTGAACAGGGAAGCCAAAAAGAAAGCCTAAGAAAGTGCTGCAAAACTGTAGAGCTAATAAGAGGATGACACGTGTAAAAACGCATTAAATGGAAGTGACAATTGAAGCGTCAATTTTGTCAGAGCATTAATGGTGACAAAAATTCTCTTTTAATGAAATCCACTTCCCAAATATTCAACTGATGAATAAATGGAAAGTGGGGGGACTATTTGTATTGGGAAAAATTATATTTATATATAAAGGTGACGTGTCAAGACACGTGGATTGGTCAAATGGTCGGTCAAAGAATTACAATTAGCCAAGAGTCATGGGGTGCAACAGGTTCGAGCAAAGAAAGAGGAAGAGGCACGAGCAATCAAACAAATAACTCGGTGCCCGTACCTATTTAAGTCATTTATATCCGAGAATCAGAAGGAATGAATCTGACAATGGAAAAGAGTACAGATACGGCATTTCATGGGTATTAAATGCTGAGAGAATATATTTTAAATGTAATGATTGTGTAACGTAACATTCAATGTCTTTAATTACTCATAATAGCCTCATTATGAGAAAAACGTATATTTCCAAAGGTATCTATAAAAAGGAGATATATGATCAGTTGTAAGGACAGGAAATACTATTGGAATAGACATTGATTTATTTGTTTCTCTTGATTATCATCTTGCTATCCAGAATTACTTCTTTTCATTCATTTTCTTGATTATCAATAACCCGAGTTCTTCTAAATTCTAGCTTTGACTAAAATCCCATTTTTTGGTTAAACACCGACGCTTAACCATTTTACTGAAGTTGTTCAAATTTGGAATACCCAATGTTTCGGTAATATCTTTCGCAAAAAACGAATCCTTCAAGCTCGTATTGCAGGTCTCCAAAAAATGGATCCAAATCATAAATATGCTTTTATATAGCTTTGGAAGATAATCTCGTTCAAGAATTTAATCTCCTTTTAAAGAATGAAGAAGATTTTTGAAAAGTCAAATCACGAGTCCAAAATCTTCATGACGGTGATGCTAATACAAATTTTTTTCACCTCTCTACAGTTCATCGTCGAAAAAAAAACCACATTATCGGGCTTAATGACACCGTAGGTAATTGGACCTTCGACCAATCTACCATCAATGACATTATTATCACTCATTTCCACAATCTTTACACTACTAAACTTCTACTAAACCTCAACCAAGTTGCCATCCACGCACCCAATGCTCTTACAACTGCTATGTCCCAACACCTGGACCGGCCCCTCGAAGATATTGAACTTTATCAAGCAATTCAATCTTTCCAACCATTCAAAGCTCCTGGACTGGATGGCTTCCATCCTATCTTCTTCCAGCAATTTTGGAATGATCTAAAACCCGTTATTCTAAAACTATGTCATGATGCCTTTGACATTTCCTTTATTCCTCCTTTACTAAATCAAACGCATCTCACTTTAATACCTAAGGTCAAAAGCCCCGAACGGATAGCCCAATATCGCCCAATTTTCCTATGTAATACTAGCTATAAGATCATCACTAAAATCATCGTCCATAGGCTTCGGCCTCACCTTGATTCCATTATTAGCCCATACCAGAGTAGCTTCATTCCCGGACGACGAACAATGATAATGCTATTAGTGTTCAAGAAGCAATCCACTCTTTCCATTCAAAAAAGGTAATCAGGGTCACATGTTTCTTAAAATCGACCTTGAAAAAGCTTTTGACCGTCTCGAATGGTCCTTCATTCGATACTCTTTATCCGGTTTAAATTTTCCTCCTTTCCTTATTAATCTCATCTTGAACTGTGTCTCATCCGCTACTATATCTATCCTTATAAATGGACAACCTACCCCTTTCTTTTCTCCAACGAGAGGCATCCGTCAAGGTGATCCTTTATCTCCATATTTGTTTATCATCTGTATAGAAACTCTAACTCGCATTATCAACCTCTCTATTGCTAATCACGAATGGACACCTCTCAAATTATCCCGCAATGGCCCTCTTCTTTCTCACTTTCTTTTTGCCGATGATTTAATCCTTTTTGCGGAAGCTACTCCAACAAATGCCATTGCAATCCGTAAGGTCCTTCAAACATTTGGTACCTTGGCATGACAAAAAATCAATAATAACAAATCCCGCATTGTCTTTTCACCAAATACCCCCAAAGTGTCCAAGATGATATTTCTGACATTTTAAATATGCGTTCCTCACATCAAGTTGGTAAATACCTTGGACTCCCAATCACCAATCTTCAACCTAAGAGTGTGGATTATCAATACCTCCTTGACCAAATGAACAATAGACTACAAGGATAAAAGACCAAATTTCTCAACCTCGCAAGTCGGACTACTTTAGTTAAGTCTGTCCTTGATTCCATACCTACATATGCAATGCAATATACTTTACTTCCTGCCAAAATTACTAAACACATTGATAAAATTCAACGAAATTTTCTATGGGGCTCCACCACTACTAAACGTAAAATTCATCTTGTTAGTTGGGAACAAGTTACACTACCTCGTGCCTATGGTGGATTGGGGATCCACAAAGCCAAGGGTAAAAATTTAGCTCTTATTGCTGGATTAGCTTGGCGCTTTCGTCGCCATCCCAAATTCCTGTGGGCCCGAGTCATAAATGCTAAGTATAATCTCCCCTCTTCAAATTGCACATCTATTCTTCCACGGCGAAGAACCTCCTCCACTTTGCGAGCTCTTCTTCAAGGTAACTCTTGCCTTGCGCTAGGCCTTAAATGGCACATTGGCAATGGCACAACCATTAACGTCTGGAACGACATTTGGCTCTCAAATAATTCTCCTCTTCGCAATCTTATTTACGGTCCTTTAACTCATACTGAGCAATCTCTTACACTAGATCGCCTTCTTCATAATGGAAATTGGAATACTAGTGTCCTATCCTTTGAACTACCCCCAGATATCTCACTTCTCATCCGTAATACTTACTTTAATCCCACTTCATCACGCACTGATAACTTTTGTTGGTTTCCAAACAATTCAGGGTTTTTTTCTGCTAAATCTGTATATCGATTATATCTTAACACTTGTAGCAACATGCCGGCTAATCCACCAAATATTCAATGGGTTTGGTCCCTCCATATCCCACCTAAAATTCAAACGTTTCTTTGGCTAGTACTTCTTAACAGACTACCGATTGCTTCATATCTTTCATTTATTAATATGCATCCCCACCCATTCTGTCATTCCTGTCCTACTAAAATCGAATCCCTCCAACACTTATTCTTTGATTGCACCAATTCTCATATTGCATGGAACTTCTTCCCTATTAACTTGCATGCAACATCTTTCTCTGAATGGCTTAAAGAGGTGTACACGCATCCATCTTCCATTTATCTACAATGGAATTGAAGTTCCAACAGCTCAACTTGTCCCTTTCATTCTCTGGCACATCTGGACTACTCGCAACCATAACCTTTTCCACAATTTACATGATCCTGTATCGGTAAAAAATATTATGTTCCACGTGATAGAATTCCACTATCTAAGAACACCTTCTGCCTTACCTCGTATATTGACTACTCAGTATATTAAATGGCATCCTCCCGCACCACATTTATTTAAATTAAATATTGACGGTGCCTTTAACTCCGGCACCAAAACTGCGGGTGCTGCGGGAGTTTTTCGAGACCATCAATATCAATGGATCCGAGGTTTTACTACGCACCGCATTTGCTCTTCTGCACTTGAAGCAGAACTTCATGCTTTGTTGATAGGATTGCAAATTGCCCAGGACTTTCATTTCTATCCACTAGAGATAGAAACAGATTCCCAGGTACTGCAAACGATGATTGACACAGGTTCTGATCTCTACTTACCTCTTATTATGGATTGCAGGTTATTGATGGCACAACTGCGACAACCGGAACTTAAGCATATCTACCGCGAAGCAAACAATGTAGCAGATCTCCTGGCAAAACATGGCATGACCTTAGCTCCTTCTACTGGCCAACAACTTTGTCATCCACTACATTACAACGAACCACCGCCTTATGCTTTACTAGCTTTCAATAAAGATTGTTCGAACATTTGTCTAAGAAGAACAGTCCCTTTATGTACAAACTATACTACATGTCTTTCTTAGCTTTTAATAATATTTCTATTTTAGCACACAAAAAAAAAAGTTGATTATACTATTAATTTTTATGGATTTTTGCCTTCCGAGATTGTTGTTAACCAGAGTCAAGTTGTAAACTTCATTCGATTCTACTATTCACTAATCTACTAAAGTAACTTTTATGAATTCAAGAATAAGAATATTTCCTCAGAATAAAAGGCCGACTATTTAATAGTATAAACACATCAACTTTTTCCTTTTTGCACGACTATTGATTTTCTATTGACTTGAGTTGCTTTTCTACCTTCTTAACGGTTATGCAATCGTACGCGACAATAACAAAGCCATATCGTGCAGGACAACACGCCCTAAAAATAAGTAGTAATATAAGCATAAAGCGCTAACTTATAGAAATGTAAATATGCTATTACTAAGAGTATGGAGAGAGCCATTACTCAGAATAATTTTAATTGTCTCGACCCAGCAAACTCAGGGTTCCAGCAACTTACACCTTATTATTGAACATTAAAACGGAAAAAATAAAGCGTAAAATTACTGCTAAAATGTTGAAGAAATATCACTTAACACGAGTATATCGCGATATTCTTATACGATAAGCAAAAAGGATAGCCAGTCTTTCAGAGAGAGGGAAATAGTATACAAGCAAAACCATAATAATTTATCCATTCAGGCACCAATTTCAGAATCGCAAGAGCAGCGAGCGAAAGGCGATCAATACACCAATGTTTCAAACGCATTAGGCAGCAATCTGACCGAATAGACACTTGCGAATCTGCAAGATTCATTAACAGAAACGAAGTATTACTATATGTTACAATTTTGCAAAGTGCGACTGTCGGAAACAAATGGATCTAACATTGAGAAACCGATGGAAGCAGTACCACCAGTCTAAATGGAGACAAATACAAGGACAGAGCTAGAGTAGGGTAGGACATGCTTATTATCAAGTTAAATGACAGAGCTAGAGGTAAAAGTAGGAAATTCCCATACTTGCAGATCTTACTGGTAAGTGATCCTTTCTTTGGTTTCTCATTCAACTCATCTTTTAATGGTACTGTTGGTGGTTATCTAAGTTGCAGTTGTTCCCTACCCTATACAGGCTGATTTTTTTTTTTTTTTTGGGTTGGTGTATGGGTATTAATACTCAAATTTCCATAGTCTCATCAGACATAGTAAGCAACTGACTTCCCCCATCACTACATTACCCAAGTTCTGTACCAAGAACAACAATAAAGAAGATGACTAAAGTTATTTAAAGTTTTAAACCATATTGGTAAGAGGTAGGCAATGTCTATAACTCAGTTTAAGTACTACACAACGTCTACGCTGGGAATAATTTAATCCGCTAAGCTACCTATCAAAGAAACAAGGAACATGTAAGGGATTTTGTATTCATTTGTTTGACATTTAAAAGTGGAAGGGATCTACATATCTACAGAGAGCTAAAGCTCAAAAATAGATGAAGCACGAGTATATAAATCAAGGGTGGAATCTTGAATAAATTAGAACATTGTGGACATCAATAGGCTATTTTCAAAAGTACAAAAGGAACAGGGAGCAGGAAGTACCTCTGGTAGTTTCTTACGGAACACAACTTCCAATCTGGCATCAACTGTATTTTCACATACAATTTTCCCATCTCGAGAAGCCAAAACTACTCCTCCATAGCTGTGGCATGGAAAAAAAGAGAGAGATTAGTAATAGTAGCTAATTAGATTCGACGAGCTTAAGTGCTAAACTTCCTCCCAAGAGCAATTGTACACTGAAAGCAAGAGAAAGAAAAGAGTCCAAAGTCCATCTGATGGAGCAAAAATTTGAGAAGAAAGAGCTAAAGTTTAAAGTTTCCTATAGAAGTGAAGCAGTTTACCAAGAGGAGCCATGAGCATTGTGATGTGATGGAGCAGATGGAAGGTAGATTTGGTCAATTATGACCTCCGGTGAGTGAACCTGGGCCTTCTCTGCATACTCCTCTTTTGCTGCATCCAAGACCCCTTCCACCAAGGAAACATCATCTTCCCGACAACGTAGTAGGACGCAAGGCTCTTTAAGTCTGAGCAAACTCTGCAGCACAAAGAGTTGCTTTAGTGTTATACCACCCAGAGGCGGACCTATGTGGTGAGGTGAGGGGTCACGTGACCCCGTTAGTCTCGGCAAAAACCATGTATATACATATTATATATATCTATACATATATGTGGGACCCCTTAAATATTTTAAGTGTGCCCCAGAAACAAAGAGGCGGATGGGAGAAGTGGTTGCTTTGGGGCCTTAAATACCCAACTTTGCTGGGGACGTATGTTCGAAACCCCCTATGGCCCTTTAGCTTTTTTTTTTCCTCCTTTCTATTTTTATTCTAAATTGCTTTCTCTTTTACTTTTATCTCTTTTTTTTTAATTCAATTATAATTTAGTACTAATATATAATAGTTAACTTAATATTTTAGTTCTTTGATTACAATATAATTTATATTTAATAGCAAATTGTTTTTTTTTTACTTTTATCTTTTTTTTTATTTCATTTATAGTTTAGTACTAATACACACTAGTCAACTTAATTAATTTTATTACTTCTTTTCCCATAGCATCCATTTTGCGAAGAAAACTCTTTTTCTCTTATATATATATATATGTTCGGTGTTTTTTCTTCTTCTTTAGAATTTTATCGCTGGTGATTATCATACAGTGGTGCCCCGTCGCGCTCAAATCCTGGGTCCGCCTCTGATACCACCACAGTAATCTTCACATCTTAACATCTAATGCACAATCTGAACTTCATACACAAAACTGCATGAGAAGTCATTAGAAAATAGTTTGTCTTTCATGAAATAGTCCTGCTCATTTCTAAGATTCATGGTTTCCTGCCAATTCCAGGAAAAGAAGAAAAAAAAAGGGGGTGGGGGGGCACGAAAGGCGTACTCGTACAGCTTATATCCATCAGCCAAAGTACCTGAACAATAAGATCCTGCAGAAGCTTCTCATAAATATGGTGGTTCTGGCTGACGTTTAAAAGCTCCTTTGATGCTGCCTCCTTCATGGAGTTGACCAAGTCATCCTGAGCTTGAAGAACCTTGATTCGAGAAGCATTGAGTTGCATGGAGTACTCACTGCAATGAACACATTACAAAGAAGCTTTAAATACTCTATTTTGCCGGCCCATAATTAAAATTTGGATTAGATTAACCACAGAAACTGTTGTGCTCACATAATAATAGCAGCAAAACAATTTTACAAAAATCAACTTTAGACTGTTCTTTTTTTTTTATAAGGTGAAAATTTTATTAAAAACAGTATCAAGCTGATACTGCAAAAAAAAAATCAACTTTAGACTAATGATGAATACGTTAAGAAATAGTTTCATATAGGCCAAGTAGAGTCACTTAAAAATTAAAATCAATCTATCTGTCCATTAAGATCAGTTGGATCGACTATATGAATTACTTCAGCTCAGTAAGAAAATTACTTGATATAAGTCTGGCATTACTAGAAGTGAAATATGACTTTTGGCATATGCCAAGGCAAGAGCTCCCGCAAATGCAGATGTTAAGAACAAATGTTTTGTCCAATCAATGCTCAATGCAATGAACAATAGAGAATGTAAATTCAAGAAGATCACACTTAATTTGACATCCAAGTGCCACTAACATGGAGCTAAACAAGTAGAAACCCAGACATACTGAAAAGATGAAGGAATTCACTATAAGTCTCTACTGCAAAAATAGATCTCTCTTTTTCCCCGAAGTGGTCCACTGCAAACATAGATCACAGCATATAAGCCACTGAATAGAGACTGACGATATCATGCAAAATGGAGGTGTACCTATTATGGTTACAATCCAACAACACTACAAGATCTTCAGTTCAACCTCACAATCACGAAGAAACAAATCAAACCACTTGAACAATTCTAACTTCAAGTAAATTGTACTCATACACATTTGACTGGTCTAAAGATTGGATCAAAACCACTATTCAAACCAAGTCGGGGAAATTACATTTTCTTGCGAACATCGACTTGTTTCTCTTTACGCTCATATTCCTGTCTGATCTTCTTCTTCTCCAGTTCCACTAGCTGCAACTTCTCGATGTTGAATTCCTAAAACAATCACAAATCCGGTGTGCTCATTAACACTCGAATAACAAGAGATGCACTAATGACTAAACACAATTAACTTCAAAATTCGAACATAATTCGTATAACAATGCCAGTGCGCTAATTGACACACAAAACAACAACGGATTCAGTAATTACTAAACATAGAAAACTTCATAATTGGATCAAAATCTGTACAGTTATGCCTTACTTCTTCCGTGCATGCATTTTTCAAAGAACAACAGATAAAACGATTACTGAGCTTAATTTTACTTCAAATTTTGAGTATAATTTGTATAATCATGGAATACTTCTTCCAGCCGCACATTCTAACTCAAAGAACAATAGCTACACCTATTAAAAAACTCAAAATAACTTCACTTGCAGTATAATTTATATAATTAAGGCTTCATACTTTGCAGTGCACATTATTACCCTGAGAACAACAGATAGACAGATGACTAAACTGAAATTAACTTCAAAATCAGACAATAATTTGTATTATTATTGCTTAGTTCTTCGATGTACATTATTACTCTAAACCTAAATCAACTTCAACATTGATTACTCTGAGAACAAGATATACAGAGATCATTAAAATTCAATGAATTTTAAGACTGGGCTATAATTAGGGCTTAGTACTCTGGAGGAGACACGTTATTACTCTGAGAACAACAGATAAACTGACGACTAAACTGAAATTAACTAATTTAACTTCAAAATCAGAGGACGATTTGTATATTAAGGCTTACTTCTTCGATGCACACACTATTACTTATATAACTAAATTCAAATTCAATACTGGATCAAATTTTTAATAATTACGGCTTACTTTTTCAATGCGCACATTATTACTCTGAGAACAAGATATATATAGATCATTAAAACTGAATAAACTTCAAAATTGGACCAAAATTAGTCTAACTACGGCTAATTGGTGAATAGAGTAAGAAATAGGCCAATACTTCTTCGGCGGAGACGGAAATCTCATTAGCTTTTTCTTCGGCTTCCTGGCGGATGAATCTGACCATCTGCTGGATCTGCTTCGATACATCTGCGTCGTTCATCTTCGCAACTTTTTTGGATCGGAGAAGCGATGTGCTGTGGATGTGAGTGAAGGAGCAAAAATCAGAAAGTAGAGATAGTAATTTGTAGTCTTATTATTGCCAACTGCTGTCTTCACTTGAATCACGACTCTCTCTCTCTCTCTCTCTCTCTCTCTCTCTCTCTCTCTCCCACGTTTTTTGTTACAATTGGAGTAGTCACCCATCATGTTTATATTATTAGCATTATGGTCCCGGACAGCCGAGATCTTTACGTAAATAGCCAGTTAATTTTATTATTTATTAATTATATAATAATTACTATATACAATTTTAGATATATATATAATATATATTATACGTGAATTATATGTGTATTAATATTTGCCAGCTATTTTAAATTTAAACGCTTGGGTAGGCGGCTATTTAAGTTAATTTTTCTTTACGAAAATATAAACATAAACTTTGGATTTGTGTAAATTGACACCGGATAATACTCCCTTGGTATCAATTTATCTATATCTATCTGTATCTATCTATATCTATATCTATCTATCTATATTATTATAAAAGCACGAATAATTAATGCTAAATGTTGAACGACTAAAATATCCTCGAAACTTTGATAGGCTTTTATACCCTTAAATATTTGTATAATTTAAGGATCTAATTGTCAATTACCTAATGATGGAATTCTTTTTCAATTTGAACTCCACATACATTGCATATAAATTCCTACTCTACCGATATCGAGAACTTCTAATTCAACTAAAAAGTGGTAAAGTTGGAAATAATTATGAATTTGAACAAACTTCTAATACCAATCACATTGCAACTTTTCATCTATTTACCGTATGTGTTCTATTTATAATATGGAAATTCCGTACCAAGCCGACATGGACACATGCACTTTTAAACACTTATCGACATGGAGAATGACACTTTGTATAATTTATATATGTCTACCTCAAACAAATTAGGTAGTATTTATTGTTTTGGAATATCAATCTTCCAGGTAATTTATTAGTTTTGTTTGTTGCATAATTTTTTGTCAAAGATTAGTTTCATGTATCTAACTCAACAGGTTTAGACATAAACGAAGCATCAAACTCGCAGAGAAAGCAAGCGCACAGATGCATGTAGTAGCATTTGAGCTTTGGCGGAGTGAGTAATTTACTTCAACAGCTTTGTATGTTAAATCTAGTTAAGATCTTTTTTAATAATTTCATAACATGAGTTCCTTCTCGAGATTAAAAATAAAAGGAACTGTAAGTTGTAACGATTTCAATGGAGAATAAACTACGTCAGCTTGGCTTCTTATTCCAGTGTATTATTTATCCGTCTTGATATGATGACATTCTTTAATAATGCGCTTCATCATCTGTTGTTACACTCAAAGGACATAAGTCTTTCCAGAGGTAATTTAATTTCTTAATTACATAAATTTTCTCTTAAAGATTAACTTAATACATCTAATGGAGAATTCATCAATTATATCAACATGCAGTACATTGCTATTGTTGTTCTTTCTCTAATGGTAATTCTTTTTTAAAAAAATGATATTTTCTTTGTTTTGGTTGATCTTACGCTTCACTTTAACAGACCCAATCGAAATATCAGTATAAATTTTTAGCACAGTTTTGTAAATTGGGACTTAGGAGGTATCAATTATCCAGTTCTCTTTCCTGGTACAAAAATTATATTATTAGACATTATGTCTTTCTTAAAATACCTGTATAATAAAGTCATCTAGAATTAAGGATTTTACTCTTCTCAAGAATTTATTTTAAAATATAAAAGCTGAAAGCAAGTTGTCCAAAGATCTTCCTATTCTAATATATCTATTTTGTACTTGCCAATCGATACACAACTTGCATCATAAACAATATTAATAGAGATAATTTCAAATACCTCCCTTCAAATTTGGCTTCATAATACTAACATCCATTGTGATTCATATTTGGTGTAACAAAATTATTAATTGACTAAAAATAGACAAGTTTGCCCCTAACGAGTTAATTTGTGTTTCTTCTATTTTGTATGGCAAAGCTTCTTTTACTTTTTTTTAGTAACCACTTCTACGAACAAATAATACATTCATGCTACTCAATTTTTTTAAACGATATCCATTACATATGTATTTAGAGGCCCTGCAATCGGAAAGTCAAATTTTTTAGCGATCAAATATCAACGTCCCATTGTTATCGTGCAATGCACGTTCATAGAAACTAGTTATTATGAAAGCATGAAAAAAATGTTGGTTTACAAAAATAACCTTTTAACATTAAGCATAATAACTTACAATAAAAGGACATAACCAGAATTCTAGACATTAGCCTTGTAATCCTATCAGTTTTAGGACATAATACTACACGTTAGGAATCCTACATGATTACCTTTAGGAATCCTATTAGTATAATTATTTTTGGGCATAGATATATAATACTACATATTAGCATGTAAACCTAATACCCTTAGGAACACGTTAGATTTTCTGTTAGTATAATTACTTTTGGGATATGGACATATTTTTAGCCATATAATTCTATTACTTTATGAATATACTTCTTAAAAAAATCTTATTACTAATTTAATTTGAAAACGTATTATATTGTCCAAATCTATTTAGAAACCGTATGTTATTATAAAACCACGAATACAATATTGATTGACCAAAATATCCCTGAAATATTAAATAGAAGAACTCATGGGGAAAGGAAGTAACTGTAATAACTTATATTTTTGGACTACAATAACTTCTACGTTAACTTTTTTAATACTTAAGATTTTAAATTAACACAATCTTGTCTGTTGAATTCTTATTAAAAATATGTAGGAAGGTTTAGTAAAATCAATTCCATAAGAATCCTTCATATTGATAATACATTACCACTCTATAATATTCAACACCAACCAAAAATAAAAGTAATGTTAAAAGAACTGCATAAAGCATTGAAATTGAGAAAAAAATACTCATTATAATATATTATATATTATATTTGAAATGATTTCCTACCTAAGTAATATTTTGTTTATTATTAATTTTTTGTGTAATATAAGAAAATTATACCCAATTGTTAAAGAATGACTATGAAAATTTTTAAGAATATAAATGTGTGAGAAAGAGAAAGAAAAAGGTTGGTAAGAGTCAATACCACTAATGATTTTGCAAACATAAAGATCTAAAAGTGGAATGTAAGATCGATCTTTTCACTCTTTGAAAATAAAATTTATGGTGGATAAAATTATAATTACGGTTAAATATTCGAACATGAGATGAACTTATATTAAGAATCTGAATCACCAGAAAATAAATTATTTTTTATGTTAAAACCAAATAATCAAATCTTTTAATTGATTATTTAGCAAGAGAATCCAATTAAATTATTTTTAAAATTCATCATGTGAGTAAAATTATTTTTCAAGTTAAAAAAAATCTTAGGGTACATAAATTTATTCCATAAAAAGAGTGTTAGAGATTAAAAAAATTAGATCATAAAGTAAAAAAGATTAGTATAATATTAAGAATGTCATATAAGTGTTTGAGAAAGCACAATCAAAGCTAAATCCCGAACAAGAATAAGCTTTCAAGTCTATATTATGAAAAACTGATTCTGGTATAGCGGGATTATCCTTTGTAGATACATTCGGCGGGATTGAAATAATATTCTTATGTCATGCATTACATGCAAATGTCAGATCAAGAGGCATGATATTGTTATAACAATAAGAACAAGTGGTGTCCCAACAAGGATTTTATTATGGGAGCGTACAACCCACTTTAGAGTTGATATGCCTTTCCAAATAAATGAAATAACATCACACATGTATCAAAGCAGAGCAATAATGCTAAATCTATAAGGAAAGCAAAAATGATAATATGAGATGAAGCGCTTTTGGCTAAGCGTCAAACAATCGCCTAGAGTTTTAGAGATATATTGTATATCAATGAACCGTTTGGTGGAAAAATAATAATTTGGGAGGTGATTTCTGTCAAGTACGATTAGTAGTTCCAAAATTGACGAAGCAGAAACTGTAAAAGCTATCTTGCCAAATTATACTTATAGCCTCAAATGAAAAATATTCGAATGACGAGAAATATAAAAGTAAGAACAGATCCAACATTCAGTGACTTCTTGCTTCGTGTCGGAAACGAAGAAAAACATCCAATAAAAGATGATTTGGTTCTTCCAAAACACTTGGTTATCAACCCTAGTGGTAATAGTAGTGCATTTAATAAGAAAAATATTTCCATCGTTATTGTCACGACCCGGATTTTCACCTACTAGTGAAAGCTAGGCAAGCCAACCAATTGAATTATTCACCTGGTTTCCATTTTTAATTCAGTAACAATTTAGAACCAACAATTAATAAACAACATAATTTAATAGGCAGAAGACTAAATTTCAAGTTTTAATAGTGCTACCAATATCAGTCCATAACAATCTACTCAAGACTGGTGTCACAACTTCACAGACTGTCTAAGAGTACTACAAATAAAGGTCTGAAAGAAATAATACAACACTGTCTCTGGAAATACAAGAAAGAAATAGGAAAAATAGCTAGGAGGAGACGCCAAGGCATGTGGACGCCTGCAGGACTACCTCGGGTCGCCTGATGAACAAGAAGCAGAAATCTCACTGCGGTCCGAAATCTGCAGCACTGGGATCTGCACAAAAGAGTGCAGTGTGTAGTATCAGCACAACCGACCCCATGTGCTAGTAAGTACCTAGCCTAACCTCGGCGAAGTAGTGACAAGGCTAGGACCAGACTACCAAATAAACCTGTGCAGATAAATAATGTACAGTGAAAAATAAAAGCAAAAATATACAGTCAAGGATGGGAGGGGGGAACATGCTGCGGGGAAATATGAGATTGCAACAGGAGGATAGCAGGTAAATATAGGGAACACCACCATTCAACTATCAACAAGAATCAGAAATCAAACAAGAGCACGGCATCACCCTTCGTGCTTTTACTCACACCCTCACCATAAAAATCAATATAAACTGCACGGCATCACCCTTCGTGCTTTTACTCTCATCCTTACCATAAAATCAATATAATCGGCACGGAATGGTACATCGTGCGGCACAGCATCACCCTTCGTGCTTTACACTCTTCCTCAAAAAATAATACACGGCATCACCCTTCGTGCTTTAACACTCTCTCACCAAAACAATGCACGGCATC